AGATTTTCCGATTATACATGACTCGTGAGCCCAAAGGTGACATTGGGTGCATTGAACCCAAACTTCCCCTGCTTTACTTTTAGAAAACATTCCAACACAAACCAAACAAAAACACTCCTCTACAACAGAGCTATTTGGACAATTCAAACTTTTCTCCATTAAGTGTAAACTTCCTTTACTATTTGATCTTTTACTCATCTTAATATTATCTTCGTTTAACTTTTTTGCTTGTTTTCTCTCTTCAATTGCTAACTTTTTCTTTTTAGCTGATTCTTTCTCTATTTTTAAAACATTCATATTTGGTGAATCTGTTAAAATTGATGTGGTTCTACTTCTTTTATTAGCCCTAACTCTTTTTCTTGGTTCAGCTTTTTTGAATGGTCTTAAATCTTCAGGCGATAGAACTACAGTTGACTCTGTAGATACACTGTGTTCATCATTACTGCTTGAATATGAAATATCTTGACGTGGTTTTATATCTTTTGAGCAACCAGCATTTAACATGTCATTCTCAGATATTGTAAAGTCAACATCCATTACATTACTTATATTTAGCACTGTACTTTCCACAGCACAGTCTTGTTTCGGAGGTGGTCTATCTGTGGTATAGGCTGGCATAAAATCGTGTTCACCAAAAATGTTAACATTTAGTGGGTAAATTCCTGTTTTTGCAAAACCAGCCTTGATATTATTAGGGGTACATGCTAATGGAAATGAGTTACCCACAATACCTGGTAAACTGTAAATAGACATTGTGGAACCAGGGTGCATTGTCATCCACGCATCGCAAGCTGTGTTTGTGTATTTTTTAAAAGGTCCAAATACACTTCGATCTAGAGGTTGAAGTTTATGGTTGCAATGAGGAGGAAATGAACAAACCGATACCCCATTTTCTTTAAAGTAATCTAAAGCCTCTACTGAAAGATGAGAGTCATGATTGTCTAATAGCAACAAAACAGGTCGTTCTTTTGTACTTCTGGCATATTTGACAAAATGATGGGAAAACTGCAAAAATTGAACTTCAGTCATCCAACCAGATGGGTTTGCAGCGCCTGCACTTCCATCAGGAGCACCATTTAAAAAATAGCTTTTAAATTTCACACGAGGAAATATGAAAAATGGAGGAATTGAATTTCCACTGGCAGAAACAGCAACTGCCACAGTTACTAAATTGCCTCTCTCAGCCGAAGTAACACGCCCAATTTGTTTAAAACCCTTTCTTGCTACAATATGATCTGGAGTTTGAACTGTGGTAATACCAGTTTCATCCATATTCCAAATATCTCCATTTTCCAACTTTAAACGATTAAGAATAGTTTGTAAATTGTTGTAAAACTTTTGAACATTTGTTGGATTAAAACTGGAAACACGTGCTTGACTTGTTGCCTCAGGTTTTCTTATTGACAGTTTTTTGTGCCTTTTGAGGTAAGCACTGAACCAGTCTTCTCCAGCTGCTTCATTTGCACTCCAATTATGAGGCATTTTTATGCTATTCGCTTTTCCATACTGATAAGCTAGTTTCCTCACTTCCTTAGGAGAAAGTCCATAATAAATATCAGAAGCTTTAGTCACATATTGTTCCAACAGACCTTCTTGTAAATCAGTAAAGACCTAAATGAACAATATCAATATTAAAACAAATAACACTATATATATATATATATATGTGTGTGTGTGTGTGTGTGTGTGTGTGTGTGTGTGTGTGTGTGTGTGTGTGTGTGTGTGTGTGTGTTATATAACACACATATATATATGTGTGTGTGTGTGTGCATAACACATATTAATATATATTAGTATGTGTTATACACACACACACACACATTGTATTAGTATGTGTTATAACACATACTAATACACAGTTATAAAATATAACTTATATGTTTTTTAAGATCATTGAGAACTCTATTTGTAAATATATATATATATATATATATATATATATATATATATATATATATATATATATATATAAATATATATATATATAAATATATAAATATATATATATATATAAATATATATATATATATATATATATATATATATATGTATATATAAATATATATATATATATATATATATAATATATATATATATATATATATATATATATATATATATATATATATATATATATATATATAAATCTTATATATGAGATAATAATTACTATACAAAACATATTAAGTTTATATATATATATGTATATATATATATATATATATATATATATATATATATATATATATATATATATATATATATATATATATATATATATATATATATATATATATATATATATATATATATATATACTGACCTGTCTAGATTTTATGTAACCTGATATTTGCTGACTATGACGTTGTTGCTTTTTGCAGTATCGGGACAAACTTTTTTCAGGGATATTAAAGTCTTTGGCTGTTTTTCGTATAGATTTTCCTTCTAATAAAACAGCATCAACAGCATTTTTTATAACATTTTGAGGAGTTATAGCCCTCTTTGTTTTTCTTTTATAGTTTCGCATGTAATATATGTGATCTATCTAATCGATTTTTAAAAAAATAAATCAAAATTTATAGAAAAAGTTAAAATTTATGTCCAATCGCAACCGGGTTTAGTTGATATATACGGCCAACTTGCCCCGCCAAAATTTTGCCAACTAACCCCGACAGCTATTTGGTCACAAACTCCCCTACCGATCCCTGAAAAACGTATATAAATAAAAAATAATGGTTGGACAGATTTTACTGAACCATGCAAGATATAACTCCAATCAAGTTTACTTGTACTTGATGAAATTGCTTTTAAAAATCGAAAAAATAAAGAAGTTGTAAAAGTTACAAAAATGTGGAAAAAACACATAAATCACAATATCTTTTATGCGCATGCGCAAATCCCCACAATACTACAGTGAAAGATGAAATGGTCAACTAAGAAGGTTTCCTGAAATTATTGGCACTTTTTGATGAAAGACTTTGCAGATAAACGCAATTCGTCAACTTACCCCTGCTGCCAACTAGCCCCGGTCTCCCCTATACGTTTTATATTATGATATTTAGTTTGGTTGCTATGGCACGGCTGTTTCAAACCGAGCTTAACGGCTTCTTGTTATTTTTTGAAAATATTGACTTAAGGGGTGTTACTAAAACTTTTATAACTTTTAAAGTATTAAAGATAATTTTGTTTTGTAAAAAGGAATAAAAACACCAATAAAATGTTTCATCTTACGACGTTTAATGCATTAGTAAAAAAACTTCTTTAAGTTTAAAAAAAACACGACAAATGATAAAGTTGGCTGAATTCAAGTAATTTTATATTACTTTTTATCAAAAAAAAATCAGAAAAATTTATTTCTGATAGTTATTCTCAAATATACCCATTGTTTGACTATTATAAAAACAAAAAAACCTTACTTAATTGTTTAAGGATAGCTAAAACAGACTTTAATTGAGGTCTGAAATCAAACCGCACTTTTCGCAAAGTTATGAAAAATGTAGTTAAAAGGGGGATTAGATGTTAAAAAAGTACATTTTTAAACCTAGGAGTTCTTGTTTTAGAAACTTATTTTCCTAACCCAATAAATTAATTGCATTGCAAAATAAAGCCAGATTTCGACAGTTGCATTTTAAAAAATTCTTCGTTTTTTATAGCTTTAAAATTTTTTTATATTTCTTTTTTTGGCGTGTTAACTTTAGGCACATTTTATCAAACTCGTCATTACTAGGCATATCAAAATCAATTTGCAAAAGAAAACTCATAAAACTAAATAAATCACTTCTTATTTTAAAGACTGTCATCAAAATGGAAATGACATTGTTACTGATCTTATCTGTCCTAATTAATTGCTTAACAAAAGGAATGTTACACCTATCTTCCCAACCATTTTTCCATCCAATATGTTGTTTTAGAATTTCCCTCTCCGTTGAATACATAGTTATCAAAATAATATTGACTTATTAATCAATATAATAAAAACAAATGAAATAATATTAATTAACAAATATATGCACTAGATAAAAGTGGATTTAATAACTTATCTGATATTAGTTTGATAATCCAAAGAGAAAAATTCCGCGTAACTTTGTTTACTTTATACTTCAATAATTGACTCGCCGAACAGTTGTTTGGAGAATATTCGTTAATAAATAGTTTGGGACGTAACACATAAAGATTACGTCATCGCAAAAAAACGTCAACACAAATGTACGCCTAAAACTAACAAGATTAGTTGTAAAACATGACATTTTTGAAAACATATTTCATAACAAAGCTAAAGGTACGTAAAATAATTTTTTTATTTTCATTTGCATAAAAGGTTGAAATTTCATTAACTTACGTCATCCATCAAAAAAGTTGCGTTTTGCATTTAAAAACGATCAATTAAAAAATATAAATGCTTTAAAAACAGTCTTTTTGTAAAAAAATCTCTAGGATGACGCAGGAATCTGATAGAATGGACATTTAGGGTTAAGTGTTCCAAATTTCAGCTATCAAGCACAGTACTATGTTAGGAAATCTTAGTTGGCCCAACTCATGTTTTCCGGAAAATATGCGAAAATTAGAAAAGTGGTTCTAAATTATTAAAAATATTTTAACAATATTTATTTTTATATCAATTAATGTAAATATTTATTTAACAAGGAAAGATAGATCTTTTATATTTTTTTAATTGCATAGATGAAAGCATTTATATAAAAAAGTTACTATTAATTTAAAGTTTGTGAATTTTTATACTTTTTATGCGGAAATACTTTTTTTTTTGATAAACTCATGACGTCACGCTCGTTTTTATATTGAGTGAAACAGCCGTGATGGATACCTTATTATGCATAGCAACATCTTATATATTTTTATAGTGACAGTCAATTTTATACAAATTCTTGACTTATTTACTGCAAATTTTTAAAAAAATAGGATTTTTAATGCTCTGGTGTTCCAAATAAATGTATGTGGGAAATTTTTAATTTATGTTAATTATAGAATATTAACAATTTTAATTTACAATGCATAAACTTAAATTTTAATAATAACTAAAGAAACCAAAAATTAGCCTGTAAAATTCCATAAAAAGAACAACTAAACACTGTTTTTTAACAGTTGCAGAACACCTTCTGGCAAAACCTTCTTCTTAGTACTAACTATTGTTCTTAGTGAAGAAATGACTGGATCACTAGAATAAAATAACCGCTTAAATAAATCTTCATTACATTTGATACGGTCACACTTGCGTGTAAAATGCTCACGATACTTTTTAAAATCTTTATTCCGAGCCTCTATAGCTTCTTCACTTAAGAGCCCAATTGGTAATGTCATGTAATCAACAACACTGGGAGCATGAATTAGCATTTTGTGAATGCTCTGCGGCATATAATACCATGGATAGCACTCCACGTAAAACCTAGCTGTATGTGTACAGTATTCCCTGAATAAAACTGCATCAAGCTCAAAACCACATGAAATACAAGTCAGAACAACATGGAATATCTTTATAAGTTCAAAATTGAGTCCTGTGATTTCAGAAAACAGTTGTTCATTCTGAAAGGCTCTTCTGGAGGTGTTGCCATCATTAGATGTTCCTGAGCCGCCAGCCTTAGACCTATCAACAATCAATCCCATCTTCTCTTGAAAAGCAAGTTGAATTTTTTTCTTTTGCATTTCGATTTGTTGCTTGTCAGCTGGCAATCTTGCTGACCATTTTTTAACTGGCACTTTGTAAGCAATATGGATTAAGCATTCGAATGTTCGTATCCATGCATGTAGAATTGAAATCCCATATTGTAATCCATTTTGAGTGTGCAACTTCAGTAACACCTGTAATAAATAAAAACTGCATTTTAAACTAATCAAATATAAAAAGGTATACAAATATATATGTATATATATATATATATATATATATATATATATATATATATATATATATATATATATATATATACACATATATATTTGTATACCTTTTTATATTTGATTAGTTTAAAATGCAGTTTTTATTTATTACAGGTGTTACTGAAGTTGCACACTCAAAATGGATTACAATATGGGATTTCAATTCTACATATATATATATATATATATATATATATATATATATATATATATATATATATATATATATATATATATATATATATATATATATATATATATATATATATATATATATATATATATAACAAATTTTAAAATGTAATAATGTTCTTAAAAGAACAGAGCAATGATATTTAACACTGTGTTTTATTAATAAAGACTCATCAGAAATGATGCATTTCTGATGAATCTTTATTGACAAAACAGTGTTAAATAAAAAAATTTTGTTGAGTGATTTTCTACTAGTTTATATATACAATATTTTCTATATACCTTGTCAATATCATTCATTTCTTTAGGACTAACACCACAAAGAGAGCAACACTGTGATGAGTCAGTTACATCAGATAATGCAGTATGGGCTTTTCCATCAATCATAGTAATTTCAATTTTATTGTCAACATCAATAGGCTTACCATTAAGTAGGATATAGCTTGCTTTAGTTAGCTGTTTGATCTCATTTTTTAATGTCAATTCCTCACTACAAAGAAGGTCTGCAGTTTCCTCTACAAATTTAAATTGCAAAGGTCGACAGTACAAAGTAGATGATGGTTTAGAGTTTCTCCAAAGAATAATCTTTTTATCATTAACAATAGATGAGAGTTCTAAAGGTACAAAGCATGTAATAAACAGAGATTCTTCACTCTTTAGATTCCTAGTACACTCATTATCATTACATGTTTGTTTATAAATACTATGCCCATTTGAGCCATCAAAACCAGCTTTGTATATTAGAGTTACTCTATTATACTCATTTGCATTTACAACACCAGTCTGTGTCTCCAAAAGTCTTGTTGTAGTGTGATCCAGTAGATCTTGAAGTGGAACACTAGCAGTATAATCAGTTACACATATATTTTTAGGATAGCATTGATCTTTTGCCATTCTAACATTATTATATGCTGGGTAGAGACTGCATTCCTTTTCATCAGCTTTGTTTTTCTTCAGTTGATAAAATGCTTTTGTTAAATTACAATTTAAAATAAGGGTCAAAGCTTCATCACTAGACATATAAGATGGGGATATAGTATCCACTAACAATTTTTCTGCTAATTTAGCTTTTTTAGGCTGATTATCTTTTCCAAATTTCACTTTAGTTGCAAATAATAGTTAGGCTAGCAGAGTATTGATCCATTTCAGCAACTTTTCTATACTTAGATCTCAAAGAGGACTCATCAAAATTCAAAGTAGGCCTTCCAAAAGGAGTGGTAACAATTGTTGGAGTAGCAGTTGGAACATATGCAGAAGATATAAAGTCAGTATCCAACCAATTTGCATACTTTTTCTCAAAAGCTGCAGCTTTGCGACTAACATCATTCCAACGAGTCTTCAAGTTCTTTAAGAATGCAATTAATTTGTTTCTTATAATTTCAGAATCATCCAAGTCTAACTTGACAACTAATTGATCATAAATTGTGGGATCTTGTATAGACATATTATTGGATCTAATGCAACTGTATATATAATAGTACTTCATTGTTATATTGTTATTTATTCTAAAAATAGAAAAGTCAACCTCTCTCTCTCTCTCTCTCTCTCTCTCTCTCTATATATATATATATATATATATATATATATATATATATATATATATATATATATATATATATATATATATATATATATATATATATATATATATTTATATATTTATATATATATTTATATATAAACAAACATACATATATATGTATATATATTTATATACATATATATATATATATATATATATATATATATATATATATATATATATATATATATATATATATATAAACAAACATACATATATATGTATATATATTTATATACATATATATATATATATATATATATATATATATATATATATATATATATATATATATATATAAAGTTTATATTTTATTATATAATATAATATATGTTAAATATAGTTATATAGGGTTTTTGTATAATCAATGATATAGAGTAACATAAAAAAAATGTTTTATTGACAGTTGTCACGGTATAAAATCATGTATAATGTTTTAGTTACATATTCTACATCTGCAAGTATCTGCAACCAAAACTGTTTTTAACTCATTAAATATATTTTTTTCAGTAATTATCAGCTATAAAAACCCTGGCCAAACATGGCCGAAAAATTATAAGCATAGTATTAGCAGAAAATAAACGCAATTATTTCAACCATTAAACACACTATCTTTGATAGATCATAAAAAGATATTAAAAAAATATTTTTTAAAACTTTTTTAGAAAAGCGCTTGACCGTCAAAAATATTGTTCAGGGTGACAACTTAAAATTTAAAAAATTTGGTGAAGGCGCATTTTTTGATCAACAACCCTTATGTTTTTATGTAAATCAATATGTTACGTTCATTGAATAGAAGTTTTTTAAACAAAAATTGAATAAAAGTAATTTTGACTTTTGGCAAACCATGGCCCACTGTGCAATGACTGGAAAAAGCTGAGGCTACACTTAAGTTATCTATATTCACTCCAGAACCACTTGCTACTCCTTCTTCCATTTTTGTATAGGCTTTGGCTAATTTTTTTTTGCTGTTACAACTCTTTGATGCTTTGCGATTCCATGAACTTTAATTGGCGAGACTCCAATTGATATTAAAGAGTTGTCTAACTGTTGATTATTACAAAATTTACCTTTAACAAATGATACATCACTATTAATTTCACACTCCATTTCATTAACAGAAACTTCACCACAATTTGACAAAAACTGAATACATGAGCGACGAAACTTCCATTGTGGTTTACAGTCTAGAATTAAGGTTACAAGCCATTTCGACAGATACCATTGTTTGATCTAAAATAAAATCATTAATTTTTAATAAACATATTCTGCTTCTAAATTTATAAATTATATAAAAATATATAGTATATATATAAGTTAATATATATTATATATATATATATGTATATATATATATATATATATATATATATATATATATATATATATATATATATATATATATATATATATATATATATACATATATATATATATATATAACCTTTGTTTGTTTTTTTTAAACATCACAACACTTATCATTCTTTAGTAGAAACATCGGCCCTAAAACCTGCTAATGATGATAAATACTCTTTATCTCTTCGTATGATGTAGTCTCAAGCTAGCCAGACCTTCAAATATTGAAAATCTTTTTCTAGATTACAAAAATCTTTTAATCCTTGTTTTCTAACAAATTATGTGAGATTCATCATTTAAAACTTTTTCAAACCCACAAGATTCTTATCAATATACTATTATTTATTATCCCTTAAAAAGATGCAAGAAAAATGTATAATTCACTCAATGTGTTCATGGGGTCAAGGTTGTTCCGGATAGAGGTGTACCGGATATTTTTGCCAGATATGCCGGATATTGAACTTTTCTAAAGTTATATAAGTGTTTATGAAGAAAAAACAAGTCTTACCAGTCTACAATAAATAGCATTCAAGATCTTACTTTAAAAAAAAATTAAGAGAAAAACTGTATGACATTGGATATGTGCTGAAGAAGTATAGAAAATAGTAATTTATAAAAACAAAAATTTGCCTGTAAAAACGATTTTTCCTTATACATTATTAATGCATATACCTGTGTTATACCAGTTTTTTCTTGATTTTATTTTTTTAAATCTTGAACACTATTTAATGTCAAATGGCAAGACTTGTTTTTTCTTCATAAACACTTATAGAACTTTAGAAAAGTTCAATATCTGGCATATCTGGCAAAAATATTTGGTACACTTCTAGTTCTGGATTAGAAAACTTTACATAATTAATGAGCATTCTTTTATTAATTTTACAGCCTTATAAACATTTCTAAATAATAAAACTACTAAAAAAACAGAAACAGCAATTAAACAACATCTAAAAGAACATTTCGATATAGCCAAAACTGTTTCATTTACAAAACAGTCAAATCACCACTTTTTCTTTCTTTTTTGATTTATCATAACACCTGTCTTATAAGCAATAAATTTAAGTAGATTTGACTATGTTTTTATTTCTGTTTTAGAAAAGACCGCTCTCCAATTCTGTGTAATAACTGTAACTTAACTACTCAGTACAACTTTTAAAAAAAATTAAAAAATTGAGTTACATCAGTATTTTTGTAATTGGACTCGCCCTAGTAAAATTGTGATAAACAATTAAATTTTAGGTGTTTGTTTTTAAATATTTCGAATTGTTTCATTAGATTTGCTAGCCCAAAATATGTACAAATTAGGTACAAATTTTCACCCTTCCCAAATACATAACTAGCAGAAACTAGGACCAAAACCATTTTTTTAAATGGCAGATTTTTGTTGGTTGGAGACAATCTTAAAATAGCTATATCTTAGGAACCGATTGAAATTAGACAATAAAATTTTCAGGATGTTCATAGTTTACTAAAGTCTTAAGTGGTTTAAAAATCAGCAAAATCTGAGACTTAAGGTTGCATTTTCAAAAAATATTGGATGTTTTCACATGGAATCGCCCATTTTTCATCCCAGGTTGCTTATATGTTGCCTTAAATTTTAAACAATAGTCAGCTTACAATCTATTTGTTCTGCAATATTCTTTTTAACTTTTTAATGGCGATAGTGGTGTAGTGGTAGAGAGCTTTATAAGCAAGAAGTTACGAGTTCGATCACCACCACCTCCTTGATAGTACCGTACTGCGCTCAACTTGTTTCCCTGCCCAGAGGCCTTATTCATCAAAGTTTTTGTTTTGAAGTTAAAGAGTTAAGAGAGGGTTGTAACTACAAAAAATTAGCTTTTTTGACTGTAGTGGTCCTCTTGGCCTTGGTGAATAAAATTTTAAAAAAAGTCTTAACCATCTGTTATTTACAAGAGTAAATAACTTACAAGAGTAAATAACCTGAAATGTTATATAAGTCCCATTTTTATGAGCAGATCTTCAGCCATTTTGTCTCATTAAAACCATTTTCAATAAATAAATAAAATTTAGTACTAGTAAGATCTTTAATTTTTCTTCATTTTTTGTTAATAAAACATTGTCAACGTAATTTCCCTAAATACAACTTCTTTGCTTTGGTGTTTAATCAAATTTATAAGCTAATTGGGACTTTTCTTCAGCTAAACATGTATCAGCAAAATGAAAAACAAATCTTTTATTTAAATATCACACACTTTCTAAATGATTTTCTTATTGATCAACTTTTTCTGCTTGTTTTACATAAAATAAGGAATACCGTACTACTTAATGAATAAAGTTATGATTTTGCAAAGGATGCATAAGTTGCAATAAACTGCAGAACAAATTGTTTATAAATAATTTTTCTATCTATAGTATTTACTTTTATAGCTAACCATAATGCTGATTTCTTTTTTGTTTTTCCTTGTTTTGTTTAACATAAAAGTTGCAAAAAAAACTACTATATTCTGAAAACAGATTAAAAAAAAAATACAAAAAAAAGTTTTATGATATTTTATGTGACCCTGCTTTAAGTAAATGTATACAAACTAAATTTATTTTTATTTTTGGATTCACGGGAATAAACACAGGAGCCATTCTTGGATTTTTTTTTTTTTTTATTTTCTTAAACTGCTTATTAAAAGAAACCAAAAATTTCATTAATGTATTTGATTTCTTTTTTGTTTCTCCTTGTTTTGTTTAACATAAAAGTTGCAAAGAAACTATATCTGGAAAAATAATAGTTTTTTTATTTATTCCATTTTTTTATTGGTTTTTTAGAAAAGTTACAGTTACATAAGTAGATTTTTATAAAAGTACACACAGTAACATTTTGTAAAAATATGAATAAATCATATTTAAAAATTAGTAAATATATAGTAGGGAAACCTGGTGCAAAATGGGGTACTGGAGCAAAATGGTTTTTTGAAAGTGGACCTTGTTCTGGGTGTGGAAACAAATAAATAGTGATTGATTTTGAATTATCGTGTGACAAAATGCCACCATCAGTTGTGTTTAAAATTTTAACAAAATTTATCTTGAAGTAAATATGACTTAAAATAAACTTCATATTTTGTGACGCACTGAAGCCAATATTGCGTTTACCTAATATAAAATAAGTAATTATCAAAACTTTTGAATTTTGAAATGTGTGAGCATTTCTTGAATGTGGCACTGTTTTTAGTAATATGCCACCAATGGGGGATAATGGGGTATTTCCCATTTTACCACAAATGTTTTTAAATAAATTGTAGACTAATTATATATGACATTTTTATGAAAATAATTTTTTTTCCTAAATACATTTGTGTTCTACATAAAATATATATTCCATTTATATTTTATATTATTTATTTTATATATATATATATATATATATATATATATATATATATATATTAGATATATATATATATATATATATATATATATATATATATATATGAGCTTATATATATATATATATATATATATATATATATATATATATATATATATATATATATATATATATATATATATATATATATATATATATATATATATATATGTGAGCTTATATATATATATATGCCTATATATATATATAGGCATATATATAACATATATATATATATATATATATATATATATATATATATATATATATATGCTTATATATATATATATATATATATATATATATATATATATATATATATATATATATATATATATATATATATATATATATAGGCATATATTGATATATTTATATATATAGGCATATATTGATATATTTATATATATATATATATATATATATATATATATTTATGTATATATATATATATATATATATATATATATATATATTTTTATGTATATATATATATATATATATATATATATATTTATGTATATATATATATATATATATATATATTTTTATGTATATGTATATATATATATATATACACATAAATATGTGGTGAGCTTTAACCGAATGACTGTTCATTTTTTTCTTTATTGGAAAATGTTGTAGATATAAATAAGCGACATGCTAATAATATCTGGAATTGTGACAAAACAGGTATGGGAGGTGCATGCCGCCCATGATGATCTTTACTGGTAAGCAAAGAATTAATGGATGGAGCTTCCACAATGACAAATGCCATTAATGGCTTTCGAAAAGTAGACATATGGCTAGTTAATAGAAATGTTTTTTTTGAAACAGACTTTCTGGCTGCAGAAACTACTAATATTAATTTAATTAAAACAAACCCTGTTGCTGATACATGTGACATGGCTGTTACTAGCCACCTCTGTGCTTCTGTCAGTCATCTATCTGAAAGTACCAGTCATCCAATGATACCTACAATCCAAATATCTGCTTTTAGTAGCAGTCTGAATGTTTTTAATGTTCATACAATTGCTTCTACAAGCCAATCATCTGATTTTACCAACATAATATCCACTTCTTCCAGCATTTTAACCACTTCCATAAGCAATGTTAATATCATATCATTTCCAAATGTATCTTCAAGGTTTATCATTCCAATACCGAAGTAGTCACTGCAAAGGAGACTATCAAGACAGAGAGGAAAAACTCCAATCCTGACCTTCTCTCCATATAGAGCCTTGCTATTAGACATGCTGTGTAAAAATGAGCAAACCCCATCAAAAAAAGGAAAAAGGCTTAAAATGACAAACAAAAATAGTTATGCACATAAGAAAAAATGAAAATGCTGAAGTAGATTGACAAAACACTACATCTAAAATAAGAAAAAATGGTAAAAATTTCAGAGGAAGACATTTCCTGTCTCTTCTGTCAAGAAAATTATTCGACTAGTGTTGAAAGTTTTTTTATAGTGATTGTTACAGCTTGGGAGATTATTTGTGTGCTTGTTTAGAAGAAAAAGATAAAAGGCCAAGTTTTACTTGCCTTTTATCTTTTTCTTCTAAACCGAACTTTATGCCTAAAGTTTAAAACATGTTATTTTTACCTTGTATAACTCATTTTGTCCTAGCATGGGGCAAAATGTTTTTTTCCTAAGATTTTTCATTGTTTTTTATAACAATTTTAGTAATTAGTAATAATTTTTTTTATTAAATTCTATTAACTTTTTTTTTTGTCAGACAGTAGTTTGTGTTGTGTTTTGTCATTTAAAAAAGCAATTGTTTTTATTTTAATTGTTTTTGCCAGTTTTTTGATGACTTTTCTTTAAGTACTCCATTATAACCCAGTTTCCCTCAAAACAGCCATAGTGGTCAGTGTGCAGTGGATAGAGTTCTGATGTAAAATATAGAGTAAAATAAAGGTGGTGTAAAATTTCTTCATTAAGTTTTGTTTCATGATGCTCGAGTTTAATTAATAATAATAACGTCTTCTTGGAGTACTTAAGTGCAATGAACTAAAATATTTTTTTTACTTTTTTTTTGCATTAGTTACAGTTGTTTTTTTTTATTTTAGCCATCAAGAAATTTTTAATGCTGCAAAGTTGGATATATTAAAAGAAATGAAAATTAAAAAAGACAAAGAAATATTACAAATGCAGCTGAAAAAAGAAGCTGAAGAAAAGAAAAAACTAGAGTTAGAGTTAAATAAAAAAAAATTTAAAGAGGAGAGCATAAAAAAAATGTTATATAATGTGAAAGTTTGTAGTTTTTTAGTTTTAATTTGTTTTAATTCTTTGTTCAAACTTTTCCTTTCTTTTTTTAAAATTTTTTTATTGATTTATCTCTTTTTATAATTTTTTTTTTTTTTTTTTTATTTCAAGTTAACTTTTTTTACTTCAACTTTTCTTCATATTTATTTTTATATTATTTTATAATAAGTAGTTTATAATACTTGCGCCAACTTTATTTTACCTAATTTTCCTTTCCTTAAGATACTTCAATGCCATTTTTCTGCATGGCATCGTTTAGTGGTTAAAAGGCGAATAGGCATTCTGTTATTAACCCAGAATATCAATTACAAGTGTATGTTGCGAACATGGGAAGCATGGAGAGCTTATGTTTCTTGGATGAAATTCAGCACTGATTCTCAAAACACTAAAGAATTGTTATCGAATATACAGAGGTGATCAAGTTTAATTATATCAAATTTTAAAACTTTTTATTTACTCTTATTTTTCTAAATAATATTGTTTTCTTAGATTCGTATGTGGTAAATATTTTTTGTCTGTATGACCTACACATACTTTAGAAAATCACAGTTGGCTATGAAGCATCATTCACAAAGACTGGTTCGAAATTGTTTTTTATCGTGGTTAAGCTATACTAGGCTTTTTTTACAAAAAAAGCGTCTGCTACAAGAACATAAAAAAAATGCAGAAAAGATGGCAATTTTTTTTGAGGCAGCTTCAAATAATTTTTTTCATGATAAAGCTAATGTTGGTGAAAACTTTGATAGACCTAATTCGGTAATAATCTGATTTTAATAATTTTATATAGTTGAATTTAAAAAGCTTAAGAATTAAAAAAAACAACATTTTAGCTTCACATCAATGAGTTTGAAGATAAAAATAGAAACACTGTTCTCCAAAATATTGAGTTACAGAATAAACTAGCACTATCAAACAAAGCAAGTCAAGCTAGTAAAAATTTATACAGCAACAAAGAATTATTGAATTCTGAAAAAAAAGAGACTGAAAAAGATATTCAAACACAAGAAATTATAAAAAACAACCAGTTTGTAAGCAAAGAATTGAAACAGTCTGTTCCAAATGAAATGCAAAAACAAAAGTTTATTAAAACAATCCAAAAAAACAATAATGTAAATCGCCCATTTCATTCGAATCGTTCAGAGAATTATTTGAACAAGCAATCAAGCACTCTTATTAAAGGTTAGTCTATATATATATATATTTTTTAATTAAATTTAAATCTATTTTTTATATGCAAGCAGATTCATTTAGCAATGGAAGAACGAGAAAAAAAAAGAAAAGAACTTAAAGAACTTGTTGAAGCTGAAAAGAGAAAAAAAGAAGAAGACAGACTGGTTAGCTTTAATTCATCATATATTTTTAAAATTTATTTATATATAAATTTATATATATATATAGTTAATTATATTACTTCATTATATTAAGTTCTAAAACTAAAATAAATAAAATCTAAAATTATTATATGACTCAAGTTGTATACATTTGAATTCTTTCCGAAACCAACGCTTCAAAAAAATGAAAAACATAAAAAACCTAATCTGAAAAAAAAATAATAATACATAATTGAATTTTCAGTTCTTTCCTTTCAATTGAGGAAAATATACTTTGTGTAGTGCCACTGTAATTAGCATTTAATTTTTTAATTTCATTTTTTAATTTCATCAGTTACAATACTCTAAGGAAGTGTATTGCTTTGAAAAGCAATTAAAAACAATTTAACTTTGATATCATCAATGTTTTTTAATGTGAAAATTATTAGATAATTTAGGGTTCAACATACATGATAATTTAAATGGTATTGAATTAAGGTAATTAATTTTCTCAATAACAATACACATAAATGTACATACAACACTACTCATAACAGTACACATAAGAAGACATAAATTTCTAGGAAGGCAATCAAAAATAATTCAACTAAGATTTTGTTAATGTCCATATTCTTAGATATTGCATGAAAATTTGTGTTTTATATACATTCATTTTTCAAAATGAATTTGCTAACGTATAAGATCTCACATAGTTATATTGTTAATGGCAAACTTTTTATAAACATATTTTAACAAATTTCAATAGTTTCTGAAAATCTTTTAGCTTCTGTCTTTATAGTGGTAGAAAGTTGGTTTTACACAGCTGATTTCTTGAGATACCAATGTGACCACACCCAATTTATAGTGGTAAAAAGTTTGTTTTTAAATTTTTTTTTAAACAGATAATTAGATTGCTATTACTTTAGGCCCACATCTATCTTCTTGTGTAAAAAAAATGGTATAAAATGTGACCATGTTACTTCAATAGATGCTTAAGTTTTTGTATTTTTAGACTGAGATTTTTAGACAACAGACTTTTAACTTTTATTTTTTATCCATAATAAGTTTAAAAATATCTCATTTATTAACAAGTTTTGGACAGGTCTAAATTTTGTATGAATATTTAGATCAGATATGTATAAACAAGTTGGTTAAAACAAGCTGATATTCAATTGTATCTCTATTCTGAGATGGATTTGTACTTAAATTGGCAGCTGAATTTTAACCCAAACAAAACCCAGCTGTTTGCTGCCAATAATAGTTACAACAAGTTGACCGGACCCTTAAGAATACGGGTCTTTGTAAGTCTATTCCACGCCAACCTTTTCTTTACTTTTTATTTATTTATGATAGCAGTCTGGATCCACAACACAGGCCTTCAGCAAATAATACTTAATAAAACAGAAATAAATGCTATAGATTCAAAATAGAGGAGATGTTGCCACAATGCAGTTTTCAAGTGAAAGTAAAACTGCAAAACTGGATATATGTTTTAATATGTTTTAACATTGCATGATTTTTGTTTAAATTAGATAAGTTGTTGCTTGTTTCCAATTGTTTTTATTATTTTACATTTTGACATTATTCAAAATCAATAAAAATTATGTTGAAACGTGGTTGGCAATGTTTTTGCCGACCTCAAACATTTTTAAGTTGGCAGTTGGGTTGAGATTGTTAAATGCTGACCCTAACTCTGAGGGTTGATTAAAGGTATTAACTTAACTTGTATCAATAGACTTCTACTTTAATGATGCAAAACAAGTGTCCTAATAAGTTTACTTTTTACTTAAGAAAGTTTACTTTTTAAATAGGGTAAATCAAAAAGCTTTTTAAAGTAAAAATATTTCGATCTTGATAAATTAATGACCTTGTGTTTTTTATTACATGGAAACTAACCCTGGAAATAATTTACCACAAAAAAAATTCACTAAGAAAAAATTATTGATTACCAAATTTTTTAATGAGCAAATTTGTTATGGAATTATTGGTTTTTAATTAACAGATTATCATTCTATTTACATACCTCAAAAATAATAGAGGATCCATTTACTGATGGGTTAGGGTCACAAGCAGCACAATTTACTTTTTTATAATCATTGATGAGTTTGCGAATAATTGAAAAATTGTTTTTATAGATTTCAGGCAAACTATTGAGTTCCAATTATGGGTTTATATATTTTTGTTAGTATAGTTTTGTAAACATTTGTTAACACCAAATTACATAATAATAAAATTAATGTGACCATTAATTTTACTAGGTCACATTAATTTTAAAAGAACTAGCTTAAAAAAACTTTAATGTGATAATATGTTCTGGCAATTTTTTTAAACAGAAAGAACTGCGTCGTCAACAAGAGGAACGAGAACTTGAAGAACAGAGAGAAAAACAAGAAAGATTGCGAATCAAAAATGAGGAAAAAAAACTTAAACTTCAGGTATGTAATTTTAGGTGACAGGACTAGTGTCGAAAAATAAATATCAGAATAGTATTGAATATATTAAAAAAGCCTAACAAAAAAAAGGAATAATTCACAAATGAATTTGATAAATAGTGTGGAAAACAAAACAAAAAAATGAATAGTGTCGCAAATGAATTTAATGAATCTTATCAAAAACAAAAAGAAGGAATAGTGTTGTTAATAGTAAATAGTGTCGCAATTAGTAAAAATCTACTATAGCATATATAGATCAGCAAATTCTTATTTTTTTTTTGCTTATCTTTATAGCATATGGCTTTTACGAAAGAAAAAAAAAAAAAAAAAACACCCTCAGTTAATATAGTGGCTCTACTTTGTGGCAGCAGGCTATAAGGTAGTTGGTGTATGTACTGAAGCTCCCGGCAGTAGGCTATTTCAGTATGACATCAGACATGTTATCTAAAAAAGCATTTATAGTTCTTATTATTATTTTTTTTTTCACACTATTCTTTAAACTCTTTTTCAACATTATTCCTTTTTCTATTTTTGATATTGTTCATTAAATTAATTTTTTTTGTTTTTAACACAATTCATAGTCATTTATCACATTTCTTTGTGATATTTTTTTAAATTCATTTGTGACATTATTTCAAATTATTCCTTATTTCATTCATTAAATTCATTCATTTCAAATTATTCCTTATTCTATTATTCAACAATCAATAATGTGACAATTTGCGACACTATTCTTTTTTTACATTTTCGACAACCAATTTTGCGACAATCACAATTTTGCGACACTATTCTGCCACACCATAATTTTTTTTAAAATCTGTAATTGACTATTACTTTTTTGTAAAATTATAACTGTAATTTTTCCTTTTTTTTATTTATATATTTTTTTAACAAAGCAATATATTAAATAAGTGTTTATTAAAAATAACTTAAAACACTTTTGGTTGTTTTAATTACTATTGTTAAATTGTTGCAATTGTAACTTTTTTTTTTTTTTTTTTAAAATGCTTAAAAAATGCAAAACCAAATAAAATAAAAAAATGCAGAACCAAATGAAAATTAAAAAGAATATTTGTTTATAAAATTCATTGTAGATATATTTTTTACTTTGATATTTTAGAAAATATATTTTTTTAGTATAAAATAATATATATTTTTAAGTAAGTTTGAGATTTGTAAATTGTTGCAGTTCTTAATATTTTAGGGATGTACAGGATATGAAAAAAAATCCAGCTGGGTTTTTTTTCTTTAAGATCAATTTGCTTCTGGCTGTAATTAAACTTTTTTTTTAATTTTTTTTTTATGATATGTGACACAGGCTGTGTAAATAAATCAAAAAATCATTATCCTACAGAACAATGAAGAACTAAAGGTAAACCTAGGTAGAAAATACAAATGTAAGTTTATTTTCAAAAATATTTGTACTGTAAATGCATTTGCAAAAATACCATTTGTATTTTTTACCTCAGTTTATCTATAGTTCTCTGTAGGATAATGATTTTTTGATTTATTTACACAGCCTATGTCACAAGTCATAAAGAAAAAAGTAAAAAAAAAAAAATTAATTCCAGTTAGAAGCGAATTGATCTAAGAGGCAAAAACTCCAGCCGGAATTCCGGTACATCCCTATAATATTTTGGTTTTGCAATGTTGCTGAAAGTTTGCAATTTAAAGCTAAAAATATCTTTATCAGTTCTATAACTGGGTGTAACTAAAATAATTAACGAGACAAGGCACATTGTAATTACCTACTCATGCAGAACTGAATATCTACTGATGCAAAACTGTAAATATCTACTAATGCACTATTGTAAGTATTTGCTGATGCTCTATTGCAAGTATCTACTTATGCACCGCTGTAAATACAGTTGATTCTCAATATCTCAAATATTACATATGATAAAAAAGTTTGAAATATCAAGAGATCGAAATATCAGGAATGGATTTGAGAATAAGTAAAATTGCCCAATCATTCACTAAAAACACTTTACTTTCTATCTGAAAATTAAATTACTTGCACCAAAAGCTACAATTTTTGGAAGAAATCTGAAACCTGGCATTGCCTGAAATTATCTTTTTCATCTTCATTAGGTTCTTAAGTTTGTATATTTCTATATCTATGTCTTCTTCAACGCCATCTTCAACTTTATCATCTTTTTTTTAATAACTATGATCTAAAATCAGAGCATTGATTTCCATATCAGTAGCTGGTGTAGAGGTGGTTACTAGATTGTGATCAGTAGCTGGTGTAGAGGTGGTTACTAGATTGTGATCAGTAGCTGGTGTAGAGGTGGTTACTAGATTGTGATCTAAACCAATCTAAGCTTAGAGGTCTTCTTGGACGGCTATAGGATCTAGTTCTTGCAAAACAGTCAAGCTTGTCTGTCAAAGATTTGAGCAGATTATCATCAAATTTTCAGAAGGGTATTATTAAGCAGTCTCAATATGCAGGCGCACTGCAATCTTTAAAATTTTGTATTATTTCTTGATCCCTGAACTGAAGGATGATGTCTTGAACCAAGGACTGAAGGTGTGGTGTTAAGGAGAAGATATATCAGCTTGATGTTTCTTAATCCTTCAATGTGTGGATGGGCAGAACAGCTATCCACCAGGAGTGTTAGGAAAATTTTGTGTACCTAGGGTGGAATTTTTTCAATGTCCAAATTCAAGACCCCAGACTTGTCTAAAAATGGTGAAACTGAAATGATCACATCTATATATTGATTACTTTGTCTTAACATAGGTATAATGATTTAAATTTAAAAAGTCCGTCATGTGGAGGGGTTTAAAAATTTAGGCTCTAGGTACAATAAGCTTTATTTAATTGTATTTAGAGCCACTAGCTAATCTACCTAGGATTGTTCTTTGCAAATTAGATTTCCATAATAAGTTAACAACAAAGGTAGACATAATTTTGAATAAAAATTTATTTAATCTTAGATTGTTTTCAATAAATTTAATTAGTTTTACTTGATTGCAACACTTGAATAAATAAAAAAAATTGAGTAATAAATCTCAACAAAATTGGAAAATAAGTCTACCCTCAAAATAGAAATCCCCCAAAAGAAACGCTCTACACCAATCAATGTTCAACAATCTACCTCTTTATCAAACAAAATCTACCGCTACTTCTTTATCAGAGAAATGCACAAATGTCCCTAGTTACAAGCAAACTGTGTGGCCCTAAGTACAAGACTTGATAGCCACATAAAAAATATTTTAAAAATATTTCTTCACAAATCTGGACTGAGAAGAAACTTATTGAACATCGCATTTAGTACTTAAGTAATAAACTATGTAATATACAAGAACTTATAGAAAACCATTTCCTCAAAGATTGTAAAACATTATGATACTTGCAAAAAAAATTTACTTTAGATCATCAAAAAATGTTTTCAGATTATAACTTGCTGTGGTAACGCTCTCTAAGATTCAAAATAGGATTAAAAATTAATTTTTTTTAAATTAATCACCTGACTGAGATGCATAACTTAAGACTTTATAGTTTTTAAATAAATTAGTGTGTCCAGAGGTTCAAGGAGGCCCTAGAAACATCCCCTACTTTCCTGATTTAAGCTGATGGAAAGAAATGTCCAACTTTATTATCCATTCTAAAAAAAGGTAATCAGTTAATATTTAGCTTATTCCGATAAGTGCATAGGAGTTGTTTTATATGCCTAAAACATGGTTTTAGATTCGCTAATAACAAAAATTGATAAAATTTTTCTTCCATTACACATCATGTTACCATCCCTGCTAGTCTAACTTTACTTCTTTATCTCTTGAAACAATTCTCTCGTGATAAATGGCACATTTTATTTGTTAGGCACTAGTAAAATAGTCAAAACTCGTCAGCACTGAAAATTCATCATGCTTGTAATTTAAAAGCAATGTTGGGAGCATAAGTCATTTGTCACTGAGGCACTTTTGCTTGAGACGATTTTAAAGCTGGTGCTGTTCCTTAAAATAGCAACAGAATAGTTGAATTTTGAATTGAAAAAAATTTTTGAAAAGTTTGAGACACCAAGATAATATTGGTGACCAATAATATTGTTCCAAATACCAAAATAATCAAGATATTGAGGTTTGAAATATTTTGAGAGAATTTTAACCCTTACTAGTACAGAATGTCAAAGGGATCAGAAAAAAAGTTTGAGATACACAAAAGCTAAAGTATTTATTTCTTGAATATATCATGATATCTTAAATACTAAAATACAAGATATCAAGTACTTAAGATATTGAGAGCTAACTGATGCACCACTGTAAATATCTACTGATTAGGGTGGTTCAGATTAAGATAAAAAAATTTTCAAACTTGAGTGGAAGCTTATAAAGTGCGCAGACCCTTGTTTTATATGTAAGATTTTTTTTTTTAATTTAAAAAAAGTTTAAGGTTAGCACACGACCCCAAAGCACTTTTTTTTAACCCTTTTTTTGACATTTTTTTGATCCCATGTGTGCCACCCTTAAACATTATTGAATTAAATTTTTTTCTATATTTATTCTTCTATATTTATTAGTTGATTTTTGATGAATTAATCTAATTTTGTTAAAATATTGTGTAGGACATGAAAACGCTGTGGCAGATGAATAGGTTCATAGATATAAATCTTCATGGAGCTACTTCAGCACTAAAATCATTTGACAAGCACAGCTGGTATCTTGACCCTGCCTTAGTTGTGCTTGCTTTAGCAGATGAATATTGCCCAAACAGAGATGATATTGCCAAACCATTATACAGTATACTTTATGCAAACCAATAGTATATCCACTTGAGCATGTTATGGTCCATAAAGAGCTTCTTCACTCTCTAGATTTTGCAAAAGATCAGCCTCCATCTTTTTGAACTCTAATAACTAAGCAATCTTGGTTCATCTTTGATAAGAACCATCTTTGATAAGAACCATCTTTGATAAGAACCATCTTTGATAAGATTATACATGGAAAGAGTGAGTTGCAGTGGCTTAGGATTTCATCACATTACTGGAAGTTCAACCATTTTTATCTTGAGCTTGAAATTATTATTAAATCACTTAATGTTGTCAATGACTCATCGGAGAGGGTCATTAAACTAGTTAAAGATTGAAAAATCAACCAAAGAGAAGAAAAGATTTTGTTCTTGCTTAACCATGTTTACAAAAGAAGTAAGGAGCAAAGAAAATAGATTTAGCATCAAATGCAACTAATTGTATTTTAAAACAATAGCTTGTTAATTTAATAAAAGTCTAGTATTGCATTAATTTTTTTTTCTTGCAACTTGAAAGAAAAGTATATTAATAGGGGAAGCTAATCTGCCTTACTTTAGATACTCCACTAAGTTTGATATCGAAAATAATATAGCATACTTTAATTACTTATTTATAATTTGATTTAAGTGAATTTTGTAATAAAAAAGAGAAAAGAGAAATAGAAATAAAGATTTTTTTTTGTCAACTTAATTACTTTTTCTATAACTTTTTCAGTGTTGAGAAAAAAATATAGAATAAAAAAATTAATTCAATGTTTAAGGGTGTCATACTTGGGGTCAAAAAATGTCAAAAAAGGTTTAAAAAATAGCCATGTGTTATCCTTAAACTTTTTTTTAAATTAAAAAAAAGTCTTACATATAAAACAAGAGTTTTATATGTAAGAATCTGCTCACCATATAAGTTTCCACTCTAGTTTGAAAAAATTTTCACCTTAATCTGAACCACTACTACTGATGCGTCACTTTAAATATCTACTGAGACATCGCTTTAAATATTTACTGATGCACCCTTATAAATATTTACTGATGCACCAATGTAAATAAATACTGGTGCACCACTGTAAATATCTATTTATACACCACTTTAAATATCTACTGATGCACCACTGTAAATAACTACTACTACACCACTGTAAATAACTACTAATGCACCACTGTAAATATCTACTAATGCATCATTGTAAGTAAATACCTACTGACACACAACTTTAAGTAAATATCTACTGATACATTGTTGTAAATATTTTAAAAATGTATGACAAGTAGATAGGATTAAAAGCAATTGTTTACTGTGTTAATAACTTTACTTTTTACACGGTTGCTTTTTTTTTTTTTTTTCCTAAACTTTTAGAATTAATCAAAATAACTGGTCAAAATATGCGCATACTGTGCATATTACATTATTTTTCCCAAAACTTCAGTTTTTGAGATCAATATATAAAAATGTATATTTTAACTAACTTAGCAATTAAACAATATTAACATTTTTATTATATAGTATTTTTATTATAATTATTATAATTAGTAATTATTTAGTTGAGTAATTAAAAGTAATGCTATATATTTACCTAAGTTATAAAAATAATATTTTAAATCAAAGTTTTGTTTTTATATAGCTGTTAAATAATCAGATTTTATAACAAACTTTGTTTTTGTTTTTATAACAAATTTAGTTTTGTTTTTGTTATAGCTGTTGATTCGACAGTAATTTTATGTTAGTTTAAAAAAAAAACTTAACTATATGTTAAATTAAAAAAAAAATTTTGAACAGAAAAGTTTATAATTTTTTTTTAGTTTAGTTTAACTGTTGACATGAATTATCTCCAATCATTATTGACTTGTCATTAAATTTACTTTGCAAACTAAAATAAAAATGCATATATATAAGAATGGAACAATTTTTAAATTTAGAGAGAAAAAGAAAAAGTTTTACGAATCGAACAACATCGCTTTAAAAATGAACTAGCTATAAATCACTTTAATAAGGTACTTCTCCGTAAATACGGGCTTCAGCCATTAAAAAATATTGTTGCAGTTACTCAAAAAAATATTGAAATTAGCTGTAAACACAGAAGTATTACATTGCTTAGGCTTGTGATGAATAAATGGTTCAGCTATGCAAAGACTAAAGTTCTTGATCGAGTGACAATGGCTGACCAATTCTATAATAAATTATTGTTAAAAAGAGGTGTGAATTCCTTATTAAAGGTATGACTTTTTTGGTGTAAATAATTAATTTTAAAATAATTCACTTAAAAATAACAAAAACATTTTATTTAATAAAAACTTTTTATTAAATAAAATGTTTTTGGTTCACATGTAGAAATCTTGTAAAAAAAAATTGAAAATTCAAAACAATCCTTTTTTTTAATGATAAATGTTTTATAATAAATATTAAAATATAATAAACTATGAATGAACTTATGACTATTCAGGCATGTTTTTATCATCAAAGAAAAATGGATATAGCTGCAAATTTCTCTTGTGTACGAATCATGAAGTATACTTTTAAATTGTGGCAAACCTTTGTTACTGATGAGCGAATACTAATGTGGGCCAAAGAAAGTTCTGCAATTGATCAAAATACTCAGTAACCTTTTATTTTTTTAATTTATGCTTGTTGGCTGTACAATACTGTACCTTTTTGCACAACACACATATGTAAATATGTGTGTATGTGTATATATATATATATATATATATATATATATATATATATATATATATATATATATATATATATATATATATATATATATATATATACAGGGCCTGTTCTAGGAAAAAAACAATATTTTCCGATAAAGTCTATATTTAAAAAAAGGTTCTCAAATTTTAATTTGGGCGGTGCCCAAATACGGTTGACGCTGTCGAAAACGATCTAGAATAGCCCCTGATATGTATATGTATATATAAAATAAAGTACTTTATCTACTTCATTTGATTTTTGTGACAAGGTTTGTTTATTTTCTACAAAGTTATTCATAAAAAACTGTTTCCTCTATAATTTACTCTAAATGGTTTAGTCCACTTGACTTGCACACCATCTAATTCAAAAAATAACTAATAATATTTAATGAAGGCTACTTGTGGTTATAACCCTCTCCCAACTCTATAACTCCAAAACACAAACCTTGACAAACAAGGCTGCTGAGCGGAGAAACAAATTGATATATATATATATATATATATATATATATATATATATATATATATATATATATATATAAAGGGTTCTCGGTTCTGTTTACTCTAAAAAATGAATCCTGAAATACGCGTCAAGGAGGTTTTTTGAGCTTAGCCGAGAAGAGCCATTTTTGATTGTTTTGTTTAAATTCGTCATAATATCGAAGCCGCAGATATTTTTAATATACATTCCTCTATGTACTTGTATAATATTTTAAGTTAAAAATTTTTTATTAAGTTGTCAAGAAGATTTTATTATAAACTATTTAAATATTATAGGTGAATCCTGGGCATTGCAGGATAGACCCTAGATCCACCACTGAGATGAATTATTTTTAAATGTTGACAATGTTAAGGGAAATCTAGAATTAGATATAGATGTAGACAAATAAAATTTGAACACTTTATAATGTATGACTTTATAGTCATTTGTATACTATGTAAATTCATAAAATATGCATTAAAAATTAAAATAATTGCTACAACCATTGGAGCTTGGAAACCAAAAATACTCCAAAAAGTTACTCTACCCCAAAATGTAAAGAAAGTGAGTTAAATTTTTTTTTAATTTTTATTATTTTGTACTAAATTTAAATTTATTGACAGGTTTCAATTTTCATCTAATAATCTGTTAGAGTTTGAAAGATTGTATGATTGTAATGTTTTCATCTTCCACAAAATGAGGGGATGTAAAATTTACATGAGGATAAATTTCATTGCATAAAAGATTATTGAATGAGAGTTTTATTTATATATATTAAATTTTATATTTAGTAAAAAATTCTTTAATAACTAATTGCTCTCACATTCAAGGTAGGGGAGGGGCAAACTTTTTGGTATAGTTTTGTTACCAGATTCCAATCACAGCAATTTTTTGCAAAAAATTCTCATTTAACTAAAGAATTAACATACTTATGTTTGCACAGTACCTCAAAGTCTCATATCTGAAACTTTGAAAAAACCAATCTGTCTCACCTTGTCATAAGTCTCTATTTTACTCAATTAATGATTTAAAAATAATAAGTCTCTATTTCACTTAATTAATAATTTAAAAATAATAAGTTTTTATTTTACTTAACTAATGTTCAATATTCACATAAATACAACAATTATATTTTTGGCCACCTACTTCATTGGAATAAATTCACTGTGTTGTGGAGTCATAAGTTCAGCATTAAAGTCCTTGGCAATATTTGATCACTCAAAACTGCTACTTGCATGCAACAAATAGTAGCAAAATATATTGAATTTTATATATATTGTATAGTATTCAACAAAGGTGACCAAACCAAGCAGTACATAGTTTGAAGGTTTGGCACTAAATGGCTATTGAATTTAGTATGTAACAATAAAAAAATTAATCAAACAGTTGGAAATATTGCTAGTCCTGTTATGATAAAATTACGTTTTGTGCAAGACTAAGTTCTTCATTTATATTAAACAAATTGCAAAATTTATATATTTAATATATATATATATATATATATATATATATATATATATATATATATATATATATATATATATATATATATCTGATTGATAAAGATGGTGTCACTCAAACAGAATTCTGATCAAAGGAGTAATACCATTTTTTAAATATATTGTGATTAATAATAAGCATACATACATAGAACATACATAAATTAAGTAAACATTAAAAAATTATACTTTGATGATAATAATAAAAATTAACAAACAAGAAGTTAATGATAATAGTTGTAGTAATCGAAATTAAAAAAATTAGAGTATTTTTTAAATAATCAGTGAAAATCATGTCAACAAATTAGAATAAAAATTGTTCTCAGAATTTTTTAAAGTTGATTTTTCTTAAGATTAAGGACAGTAAAGTTTGAAGTTTTTTTAACTCATTCACTATGCATACAAGACTCTTGTTTCATTTACAAATGCACTGATAGACAACAGAATGTTTACCATACTTCTGAGTTTTAAATGATGGTACACTAAGTTTTCTATATATGTTTCTTGTAAAGTATGTATTATTCTACTTTCTGTAAATAAGTCTGTTATAGAAAAGGGTAAATTTTTATTAAGAGAGTCAAAAACAAAAAGAAGATTAGCAAATTTTACAACCGCTGGAAAGGTTGGAATTTTTAGTTTTTTGAAAGAGTCTGATGTTTCTGACTTGAAAGATTGGAAGTTTTTAATTCTTATGGATTGACATTGAGAGGACATCAATTTTTTGATGTGATAGTTGCCATTTTGATCCCAAATTTGATAATAGTAACTAAGATGCGATAAAAATAATGCACATTAAATAATTTTTAGTGTGAATTTATTGATGTAAGGACGAACTATAGAAAGTGTGCTATTAGGTTGAGTTAATATCTTGTGTAGCTCATCAATATGAAAATTCCATGAGAGGTTGCAGTCATTCAAAAACCAAGATGTTTAATAACTTTTGTAGGATAAAACCGTTTATTATTAATTTTGATTTGAATTTTAGAATTGTTGATTAGATTGTGTTTTTTTCTAAAGATGAAAAAAAGGTTAGTTCAGTTTTTTAGGTTAAAACATATTAAGTTAGCATTTAACCAGTGAACAATACCTTTTAGATTCAAATTTATATTTTTACATAGAGAATTATACAATCTGTTGATATGCAATAGGTTTGTGTCATCAGCAAAAAGATGAATTGACAAGAAGCGAATAGAGTTGTTTATATCATTAACATAAATTAAGAACAAAAGAAGACCAAGAACAGAACCTTGAGGAACACCGCACTCAACAGATTTATTAGTAGAATTATAACCATTAATGCTTACAAATTGTTTCCGATCTGTAAAATAAGATCGAAACCAGTCACTTACAACACCACGAATACTTTAGTGTTATAAATCAGAAATCAAAATGTTATGATCAATGGTATCAAAAGCTTTTTGTAAATCTATAAAAATACCACAAACAAAATGACCAGTGTTAAGAACTTTCCTGATTTTTTCAGTTATACTTATCAATGCATGGCAGGTAGAATATTTTGAACAAAAGCCAAATTGAAATTCATTTAAAAAATTAAAAGAGTTAAGAAAAGAATACACTCTAGAATACATAAGTTTTTCAAGAACTTTACTAATTTTAGATAAAAGAGAAATAGGTCTGTAATTAGTACATAAAAGTTTAGAGCTGTTTTTAAATATTGCAATAACGCAAGATAATTTTAAAACATTTGGAAAAGTTCAATTTATGAATGGTATATTAAATAGTTTAGAAAAAATGTTTGAAAGTTCATAGTTAAAATCAATAAGAATGTTTGTGGGAATGCTACTTGGGCCTATTGATTTTCTTGGCTTCAAATTAGATATAAGAGTTGAAACTTCACAAATATTTTTTTGAGCTAGAAGTAGACTATGTACATTTGAATATTTTAGATATTTGTATAGTTTTTGTAAGAAAAATGAATATTGGATTTAAGTTTTTGTGCGACGCTTATAAAAAAAGTGTTGAGCTTTTCAGTTACAATTACAATTAAAGTTACACAGTACAGATATAAACTGTAAGTTCATCATTAGCTAGCAAGCTAGCTTGTATAGCTGCGATAATACAGCCACGGAAAATGATGCACTATGGTAACTATGTGAGTTGCTGGTCTAGTTTTTTTTTGAAACTTTTGATAGTAGAGGCATTGACAACATCATCCGGCAGAGCGTTCCAAGTATTTGCAACCCGATTGTTGAAAAAGTTAAGTTGAACAAAGCAGTTGCTATTAATTTTGCGATGAAAGCATTTGCCATGATCATAGATGGGAGGAATGTATATTGGGTCAATCAAATTAATGCCAGTTGATTAATTCAGTTTTATTTTTGATTTTGAATTTTTAAATAAGGTCACCACGTTTTCTTCTGTCACTTAGTGATGTTAGTCCAAGCATATCATATCTTGTCTTTTAATCAAGGTGCTTTACATAAGGTATTTTTGTGGCACGATGTTATATTTGTTCAGTTTCAGTAATGTCTTTTTTAAGGTGAGGGCACCAGGTGGTGGTAGCATATTCTAGATGTGCACGTACGTGTGTTGTATAGAGGTTTTTCTAGACTTTTACATCTTTGCTAACAAAGGTGTGCTTTACATACCTAAGATTATATTAGCTTTAGCAGCAGCAGTAAACACTTGACTTTTGTACTTTAGATCAACAGATAGTTGAACACCAAATTCTTTTTCCAATATTGTTGTTTCTAGCTGGACTCTTTTGACTCTTATTGAAGTCATTTTAATTGATGAAGTAGATGTGAGGGACAGATTTGGTTTGGTTGATGTGCATAACTTTACATTTTTTGATGTTAAGTTGGATGAGCCATAATTGGGTCCAATTGACAAAATTATCAATGTCAGCTTGCAGACCAAACTCACTTTGAATGCGTACATTTTACATTTATTTTTGCTGCT